CAATGCTGTAATAGAATCGATCAATGTTGTTGTGATTGCTTCTGGCCAATCATACTACTTCATTGATTCAAGAGGTCCTACGTACTTGATAAAAACCCACCTTATTGAATTCCCACTTGTTGCAAAAAAATAGGGTGAGACACAAGTACAAGGTAACAATGATTGCTACATCTTTGAAGTCAGTTGGTTGCTTGCCTTTCATTGTTTTGACCAAGGCATTCTTAAGAACAGGACTAGTGAGTCTTGTGTCCTTTGAGAATCTTCGCCTTAGGAATGTAATGTTTGGATTTTTTGAGTATCTTAATGACATGGCTCATTTACTTCCTTGCAAACCAAAAATCATGGTCATGTCATTAGTTGTAAAGGTTAAATTCTTTTTACCAACTATGAATGCTTTCGTTTTTTCATTGTAACGTTGGATTATTGCAACTGCATCACCATCAGATTTCCTAGAATTCCTTGAATCCATCATTCCAGTGGTTAGAGCTTGGATCAAATACCATAATGGAGTCTTTTGAAGCTCTTCAAGTTGCTTTGAATTGAATTTAAGTGTTTGAAAAAGGAGACAACAGATGAGAGGTTGGATCGGTATTGAATGCTATAATGAGCTCTCTTTCTTTGGAGCTTAACAGGTTTTTTCCCATTGAGCTTGAGTCTTTTGAAGTTGGGGTATTCATCTTAATACTTGTTGCTTCATTACCTAGGACTTCTGTTTTTTGGCGAGGAGTTTGTGGTGTTTTGCTGCTTTTTGATCTAAGATCATAAGAAGACTGAGAGAGTTTCTGTTTCTTTGTTGGTGTTTCTGGTATTTTGCTGCTTTTACGTTTCGCCATTTCTAGACAATGAAAACATAAATATGTCAACATTAAATCCCAAAGAAAATTGAACATGCTAGAGAAAATTGAACATGTTAGAGAAAATTACACATAAGGGAGAAAATTATAAATGTCAGAGAAAACTAGATACTGAAAATTAAATGACAAAGTACTAATAAACATGGCAAGCCAGAGAAAACTTCCATTCCACAATTAGCAAGATAAAATAAACAAAGCAACGTAAACATGCCACAAAAACTTACAGAATAGAGAAACCAAGAATTGAACAAAATAAACATGCCAGAGAAAATTGCACATACCAAAGAAAATTAAACATGGCATACCAGAGAAAATTTCCATTCCATAATATGAAAATGCCAGAGAAATTTACAGACAACTAGAGAAAAGTAAACATGACAGACACACAAAAGGAAGAAAAATGATGTAGCTAGAGAAAATTACAAATCCCAGAGAAACATAGACACAGACAAGAGAGTAAAATTACATATAGATGTAAAATATAGCCAGAAAAAATTCAAGAAAGAAACATAAATCTAGCAAGCATATAAAATGAAAATGACACATAAGAGAGAAAATTAAACAAGGCAAGTTAGAGAAAATTTTCATTCCATAATACGAAAATGCCAAAGAAACTTACAGACAATCAAAGAAAATTAAACATGGCTGACACACGCAAGGGAGAAAATTGATATGGCTAGAGAAAATTATAAATGCCAGAGAAACATAAACACAGACAAGAGAGTAAAATTACATATAGATGTAAAATATAGCTAGCAAAAATTCAAGAAAGAAACATAAATCTAGTAAGCACAGAAAATGAAAATGACAGAGAAAATTACACATGCTAGAGAAAATTAAAGATGGCAAGCCAAAGAAATTTATAGAGCAGAGAAATTTGAATGAATTGTATTTGAAAATTACACAGAGAAATAGAGAGAAATTAACCATGCCAGAGAAAATGGGGGAATAAACATAAACAAATGGGGGAATAAACATGCTAGAGAAAATTCAAAGAAGAAACATAGATCAAGCCAATACCAGAGAAATTCAAATGACAGAGAAATTTACAGACAAATCACACAAACATCTTGAAGAATAAATTCAAAACTTAGAGAAATAATATTTTTCGAATTCATGTAACTTTTTATTACGAAATTGAAACCCTAATTAATGAAAAACTAATATAATATGTAATTAATTGTGTTTCCAGAGAAAAACTTGTTGGATTGTAGAAAACTTACCAGAGTGATAATGAAACCTTAATTACGAACTGATATGCCCTGAGATGAAGATGCAATGAGATGAAGATGAACTGAGATGACGATAAACAATGAAAACAGTCAGAGAAATTTGTGAGGAATGAATGTAAAAGATTTTGGCAGAAGATAATGAAACCGTAATGTCGATAGTGAAGATGATTGTGAAACTTTAATTCTCCTATTCTCTTACTTGTGAAGATAGTTGGATGTTTGGAATAGAACTGAGTCGTCGAAATCCAGTGGAGTGTTCTCAATTGATTTGTGAAGGGTATTTTGGTCTAAGAAAGAATTAAAAATGCGCGTGTTCTAGTTGAGGGACCTGATGCATGATCCCTTTTTTTGGTGTCCTCTGTCCTATAAATTACTATTATTAGGCACCTTAAAAAAAATTCCTCATATAAAAATGATAGGTTAAATTGTTTAAGTCAATAAAAAATCAAATTAGAACATCATATATCCTTAGCTTAAAGCATTTTCAATTCTTAAAAAATAAAAAAAAAAATCATCAAATTTAAATTTGATAATAAAAAAAAAAATGTTCAAAAACTATATTCAATATTTTCATCAAATATTTATCAAATCAAGAAAAAACATATTGTCAATTTAAGAATACATCAAAAAAAAAAAATTAATTTAAATTTGATAAAAATTTAAAAAGATAAAATATTAGAGGTTTTTTTTTTAATCAAATTTAACGAATTTTTTTAAAAAAAAAAATTGATAAAAAAAAGTTAGGATATTTTATTTTTATTCAAATTTAAAATCAAATTATAAATAACAAAAAGTAGTAAAAAATTGGAGATGTTCCTTGAAGCATTAACTAGTTGGCAATTCTTAAACGTCATACCTTATGCATTTGCATAATTTTTCACAAATATACGTAAATTTTTTCATAAAATCGTGTAAATATTCACAAATATATACAAGTTAACCCATAAAAATTTGAGAAATCACAACTTATATATATTTATGAGAACTTAAGCAATTTTGTGAAATATCTTATATATATTTGTAAAAACTTACGCAAGTGCATATTGCACATCCAAACACTTCTCTAATCAATTTTCTCACAAAATATTGGGCAAATTACCTACACCCCCTTGAGGTTTAGTTAAATTACAGATTTTCCCTAAGGTTTCAAAAATTACATTCCACCTTTCAAGGTTTATATTCGCATAATAATTTACCCCTTGCGGCAAAGTAAACATTAGGAATTGTTAACGGAAGTATGCTAACATCACCAAAATAGATTTTGATGGACAATATTGCCCTAGCACCTTTCCAAATCCAAAGCATTGAACAACCTGATTTAGCTTGAAATTCCTTTGATAAGTCAACAAAATTTCCAAAAGAATTACATTAGATAGAAAAACAAATTAAGGTTCCGTTTGGTTTAGTTTTTGAATCATGATTTCAGTTTGGAGTTGTATTTTGAGTTTTAAGTTTTTGAAATGAGTTTTGGATAAATAAAAAAAAAGGTTGCTTGGCTATGAGTTCTGAAAAAAAATTTAAGTTTTGAAAAGAGTTTTATTTTTGTAATTTTTTGGTTTTAATTTTTTTAAATACTTAAAAACTTTCTTAATTTTATTTTTTAGGGTAAATATATATATTTTTTAATGTGTGCACTGTATTTTTTAAAAGTTTTTAAGAATTTTTTTAAATATTTAAAAAAATTTAAGAAATTATTTATTTATTTTAAATATATAATTTTTATTTTAAATATTTTTAAATTTTTTATTTTAAATTTTTTATTTTATTTTATTAATATTTTACATATTTTTTTAAAAAAATTTGAATTGCCCATATATATATATACATCTAAATCATAACAAATTATTTGGTCAATATTTAAAAAATAACAAAATATTTTGTTCGAAAAAATAAAAAAATAAAAAAAAATTCTTCAAAAATAAAAATGAAAAAATATATTTTTTGAATTTTTTTTTTAAAAAAAATAGAATTCTGTAAAGAGTTTTAAAAAGAGATTGGTTACGAGTTTTGAAAATAATTTTGAAATTTTTTGATTCAAATCATGATTTGAGTTTAAAACCAAATGATACCTAAGTTTTGGAACCATGTTTAATTTGTTGTTTAGAAAAAAATTTCATAATTTTTTTTTGAAAAAATAAAAACTAATTTAATAAAAATATATTTGAAAAAATATATTTAATTAGTAAAAATTATTTCTAACTTTCAAAAATAAAATTATATAAAATGATAATTATTTTTTTATTTTTTAACTAAATTAATTTTGAATTTTACTTTAAAAAAATTTAAAAGAAATACTGAGCAATTATTGATTGACTTGACATGATGTATGAGCAAAATATCTCTCTACATAACACAGTTAGCATTTAGTCAATTTAGGCCAAGTTTGACAACTCCAATATAATTCATCTTTTTATCTTTTTTCCATCACATCACATTTTTACTTTTCTGCACATATTTTCATAAAAAGATAAAAAGTACACTTATTTAGGTCATCCCAAACAACCCCTTACTATCTCCCTCAATGGTATTGCAATGAGCCAGAATATAATTTTTAAAACTTTAGAGAGAATATATAATTTAACTAAACCCGAATGAGTGTAGGTAATTTACCCCAAACAACAATGATTCATCCCATTAAAAACATCACCACTAATAGCACTAATGCATTAAAAAAGTTAAAAAAAAAAAAACACAACTCCAAAATTAAAACATCACATCATTAATGACAGAACTCACTGCCACCTAATTCGTGAGAGCACTAATTAGTGCTCCCAAGCATTTGTCTTGCCCCAAAATATTTGTAAGAGAAGCTTGATTCTACTACAGTTTGACTCTTTTCCAGAAGAACATGTCGATCAAAATGACTTCATCGCTATCCCCTACCACCTTCTCCTCTACCACCTCCAACGAAATCATGCCGATCGAAGAAAACCCCAACCATAATCCAACCCAGATCGCGATCTCCGATGACATCAACAGCAAAGAAATCGAGAAACCACCCACCGATGTGGTTATCGATCATCCAGAAGCGAATAAACTCTGCTCAATGTTGACTTCTCTTCATCCTTGTAATTTCTGGCACAAAAATTCAAAACCCAAATCAAATAACAACAAACCCATCACCAACATCGAGCCCAGATCAAATGACGACGACAACAACAGCAACTACAGAAGACCCAACAAGGCTGAGGATCTCTGTAAATTGATTGGTGCAAATGTGAATTCCCTTGAAAAGGCTTCGAAGAGGATGAGAAAGTACGAAGATCAGATCAAAGAGGTGTCTGAGAAGTTCGAGAACCTCAAAAAAGGGGGTGGAAGTGAAGACGAATTCGGGGAATTGAAGAGGGAAGTCATGAAATTGAAGCAGCAGATCTCTTCCAAGCACGAGGATGAGCCTCAAGAGTCCGAGAGTACTGCTGACATTGACAGAGTCAATGCCGACAACACGCTTAAGTACCCGGCGTTTGAGCGAATGTTCGATTCCAAAGAATTCCGGGCACGTTATGATCAGCTCGATTCACTGTCCAAGAACTGTCTCTTATGTTTTTCTGTTTTCCCGGAAAATGCTGAAATAAATAAAAGAGTCATGATATACTGGTGGATCGGGGAAGGTTTTGCGACCACAGAGCAAATCGCCAATGATTTATTCATCAATCTTTTCGTGGAGCGCTTCATTGAGCCCGTGTGCAAAATGGGTAGCTTTGCAGTCAACATCTGGAAGATGGACCCTCTTGTTCGATCTTTGGTGATTGAGATTGCCAAGACATCTAGCTTCTTCGATTTTGATGATGATGATGATGATGATGGTAATGTGACTTCACGGGCATGTTTAGTTGCTAATGGGTTAACAAAGATTCAGGATTTTGAAAAGCTTAACACATTGTTTAATTTTAATGAGTCTATTCTGGAATTCAATCCTGAATATTTTTCGAAGATGAAAAAGCTCTCTGTACTTTATCTGGGACAGTGGCAGACCTCTGTTTCGCATCACATTGAAGTTGCTGACACCAAGTCTATGAAGATAAATGCAAATGTTTTGGATGGGTTGGAAAATATCACAAACTTGAGGTTTTTGAGCCTTCATGGAATCTCTAGAATTACAGAACTTCCCGAGTCCATCTCGAGGCTCACGGATCTTACCATCCTTGACATTAGAGCATGTCACAACCTCGAGGTGATTCCCAATGGAATTGGGTTGCTCAAGAATTTGACACACTTGGACATGTCTGAGTGTTACTTGCTAGATCAAATGCCCAAGGGGCTTGCATCGCTCTACAATCTCCAAGTCCTCAAAGGGTTCATTGTTTCAGAGAGTAAAAACTCTTGCACTCTTGATGATTTGCGGAAATTCCCAAAGCTGAGAAAATTGAGCATTTATGCTGTTTGCTATGGATTTCCTACAGACACAGATTTGCGTGCTTTAAATCAGTTCAAAGCGCTGACCAATCTAACAATCACATGGGCAAGGGGCTCTTTATCTGACCAAGCCAATAGTGATGATAGCAAAAAGAAAGACACTCTTGGAGCAAAACAAGCAACAGTAGCTGCTAAGAAACCAGGTCTCACAAAAGCCCTGACAAGATCAGTTACCTCTAAGCCGGCAGAGGTTTCAGTTTCAACGCTTCCGTTAGGACTGATAAAATTGGACATTCAGTGTTTTCCTCGAACGATTACACCCACTTGGCTGATGGCTTGTAATTTGAAGAACTTGAAGAAACTTTATATCAGAGGAGGTAAATTATCTGATCTGGGTCAATTTCAGAAACTAGATGGCAAGAATGCAGAGAAGGACAAGTGGGAAGTTGAGATATTGCGTTTGAAGTACTTATATGACTTAGAGATGGATTGGAGTAATCTGCAAGAATTATTTCCTAAATTGAATTACTTGGAGATGGTAAAGTGCCCTAAACTCACTTGTTTCCCATGCCATGAAAGTGGAGTTTGGATGGATTCAAATCCTGAGATTGTGTTTGGATCATGGATTTCCCTTGCTTTTTATTTCCCCAAAAAAATTCCTAAGTAAATCATGATCAAAACACAGTAGTATTTCAGTGTTAGAAAATACATATCTCTATTTCGTAATCTTGGTTTTTAAATTAAATAAAATTTTGAAACTTATAATGACGACAGTTGTTTTTTTTTAAATTTTTATTTTGTGTTTTACCTCATACAATGAAATGAGGATCTTCATTTCATCTATGAAATAGACATCAATGAAATAGAGAGCATCATAAACCATTGTGGATGATGAAGTAAACAAAGATCTAACCAGCTGAAACAAATGGCTCGTATTGGCTATATATATGTGTTTTTGTTGCTTCAAAGCCATGTGAGCATATTTTTTAGATGAATGTGCGAGGATTGATGAAAAAAAGTTGCATGCCTGCAATTATTGAAGATGCTTTTGTCTGTGCATTTTGACATGGAGTAAATGAAACAATTGATTGGATAATTTTGTTAAATTGCTTAATTATACCATCAACGTTTTGGTTTCTTCATGAATTAAAACAGAACAGTCAACATTTCTCTCACGGGAAATGATGTGCGAGAAATCTTCATTTTTTTCTCTGAAATAAGCAACCTGCTAGAGGAAGCCTTCATGTAATGTCTCTCTAGCTCCACTGGTAAGAATTGATGATTTGTTCTTGTCGTTTCTGTGCCTTTGTAATTCATTGCAAGCTTCAGTCGAACCCTTGCAATCAAGCTAGACTTGAACTTCAGCTGAAACTGTAAGGTTTTAGTTAACATTTTGTTTATTGGCAGAGGCTACAGGGGGAGAGAGAGATATTAGTACTGGATCTTATCAAAATTCCGCTTAATTGGGTGAGAATATGACTAAAATAGGTGATTCATTGGAAGTACTCGTGTTGCACCACTTAAACACCCCATTTAAGTGCCTTCTCGTTTATTTGACTTCTTGCTACTTCAGGGATATATGTAGTAAATTACAATAAAATTGGCAGTTGCTACTTCATGTTTTGTTGATTCCTGACATGAGACTAGGCAGGGAGGTGAGTGAATGAGAGAGAGTCGGGGCTATGAGAGCAGCCCATTTGGTTGGAGTCAGTCGTCGTAGATAGACTAACTATTTAATCCCATTCTGATCACAAAATTGTACTCATACACCAGAAGCATGGAAATACCCACCGTGGTCAACATCTCTGAACATATAAATGCTTATATACACACATTCGTTTCACAGATGAATGTGTGTACAAATGTGTACGGTTTGCTTCACACCATACAGCAGAACATGAAACAATAGCTGCCAAGAAACTAGGTCTCACAAAAGCTCTGACAAGATCATTTACTCTAAGCCATCTGAGGTTTCAATTCCAACACTTCCATCGGGATTGATAAAATTGGATCTCCAATGTTTTCCTTGGATGACTACCCCTCGTTAGCTGAGGGCTTGAAATCTGTAGAACTTAAAGAAACTCTATGAGAGGATGTAAATTCTTTGATTTGGGTCAATTTCAGAAACTTGATGACCGGCCAGCAGAAAATGACGAGTGGGAAGTTGAGGTATTTCATCTGAAGTACTTAAATGAATTAGAGATGGATTGCAGTGATCTACAGAAATTATTTCCAAAATTCAATTACTTGGAGATGGTAAATTTCGCTAAACTCGATTGCATCTCATGCGATGAGAGTGGAGTGTGGACGGATTCAAATCATGAGTGTAGGTTTGGAACATGGTAAAATCGTCTCCCCTTTCCTATTTATTATCCTCTATGCAAATTTGGATTATGTATTGCTACCTTTTAAAATGAAATAAAGATCTTCATTTCATTTCGAAAGTAATCATTCTGTTATAGAGAGGATCATAATCCAGTGTATGCAGTAAACAATGAGAAAAGCAGCTTCAACAATTGGCATCATGAATATGCATAGTCTTTTGAATACAATTTTGTTTCTTACAAACTGGTGATATATCTTCTTATGTATGTGTTTTGTTCTTTGGTTGTCTAGTATTAGACTGTGTGTGTGTGTGTGTGTGTGTGTGTGTGTGTTTGTTGCTTCAAAGCTATGTGAGAATGTCTTCGAGATGAATGTGCAAGGATTGATCAATAAAAGCAGTAGCAAGCCTGCAACTGCTGTGAAGATGTTTTTTATCTGTGCATTTTGACATGGAGTAAGTGAATCCATTGATTAATTAGTTTTGTTCAATGGCATAAATGCACCATCAATATTTTGGTAATATCCATCAATTAAAAGCGCAGTCAACATTTTTCTCACAGGAAATGATTGGGGAGAAATCTTCGTCTGTTCTCGTGTGTGCCTCTGTAATTGGTGCAAGCTTCAGTTGAACACTTGAATTGAAATTAACCTACCCGCAACACCGGCTAAAATTGAAAAGGTTAAGTTGTGTTTGTAGCCAGGGAGAGAGACACAGAGGTTAGTTATGATCAATATTTTTATAAAGGAAGCAGATTTCCTCGGAACCATAATTAAGGCTGTAGGGTATTGTTTGTTGGACACTTCTTATTTCTTATATTTTATCCACACAAAAAATAAATAAAGTCAATTTGATAAAAATAATGATAGAGACCCTCTTTTTGAGAGTCTGGATTGTCGGCCGCACTTTGCTGCCGCCTTTCATGCCGTCCTGGACAAAACGACGTCGTTTTGACAAAAACGATGTCGTTTTACATAGTGTTTTTTTTTTTTTACTCTCTCTCTCCTCAAAATCTAAGTTTCTCCTCTTTTTTCACATTCATCTCTTTCTGTATCTTCTGTGTTTAGCCCTAACAAATGATCTGAATGCGAGACAGAGAGACAGAGAGGCGAGAGACGGCAACTCTGCAGTGGCGAGGTCCTTTCAATCTTCATTTTCACCTAATCTCTACTAATTCAGACCCAAACTGTGACAAATTTTTAGGTAGCTCGTTTTATTAAAGAACTTCAAACACAGAGTTTTGTTTGTTGTTCTAGATGGTGATGCAGAGAGAGAGTCAGAAAGCTATAAAAAAAATTATACCTTTGTTGCATTTTAAGAAATTTTTTTGGGTGAATACTTTTTAAGAAATTTACTACTATTAAAAAAAAATTAAAAAAAAAAAGTTCCAGAAGAAGTAGTAATAACAGAGACAGAAGAGGAGAGAGAGAGAGAGAGAGAGAGAGAATGGGCTTATTGCCTCACTGCCTTCAACAAAACGATGCTAGCTTTGCAAATCCCAAGAGGAAAAGCAATTGTTGGAGTCTAATCCTCTTCTAGGTCCATCTTCAATGCTTGAAATTCTAAAGAGAGAAGCATTTTGTTGACACTGTTGTTGTTGTAGATACAATTGTTGTTGTTGTTGTAGATGTAGATGAAATCGTTTCTCTCCATCGTGTTTGCCTCTCCATCTCTCTCAGTTCGTGTCTCTCTGCAGCTTTCTTTCTCTTTGTCTCGCGTCTAGATTACTGTTAGGGCTAAACACAATGATACAGAAAAGAGCTGAAAGTGAAAAGAAAGAGGGGAAACTCAGATTTTGGAAAAAAAAAAAAAATTAAAATGACGTCGTCTAATCCAAAACGATATCGTTTTGAAGATGGCAGCAGGAGGGGTTGCAGGAAAGTGTGGCCGATGATCCGGACTCCCCTTTTTGAAGGGCCCCTACAACTTCCATATGATCTACACCACTTATGACGTGTGGGGCCCACATCATGACACATCATGAGTGGTGTGAGTCACTTTGGGGGTTGTGGATCTTACTCATTTTCCATTTGATAATAGTAATTTATTTAATTTATCGTGTTTGTCACTAAAAAATAAATGGTTTATTTTTAAAAATATAATTATCGTTTTTGAAGATGGCAGCAGGAAGGGTTGCAAGAAAGTGTGGCCGATGATCCAGACTCCCAAAGGGCCCCTACAACTTCCATATGATCTACACCACTTATGATGTGTGGGGCCCACATCATGACACATCATGAGTGGTGTGAGTCACTTTGGGGGTTGTGGATCTTACTCATTTTCCATTTGATAATAGTAATTTATCTAATTTATCGTGTTTGTCACTAAAAAATAAATGGTTTATTTTTAAAAATATAATTATCGTTTATTTTTTGATGACTAATGTGATAAATTGAATAGATTACGATTATCGAATGAATTTAAATTTTTTATGTATAAAATATAAGAAGTGCCCAACGAAATAAAATGTTCGAATTATTAAAATAACACCCTTAATAGATGCAACGAGTCTAAATAGTGCCCTCCAATCGATATGGATTGGACAGCATCATTCTCCTTTTATAAAATCCAATCTCAAATCTTTTTATTTGAAATCCATCTCTATCCAAATGGACTCTAAAAGTGTAACATGGTTGTGATGATGTTGGTTATAACAAAAGGATTTGGATGGTCTCCTGTTGGCTAGTCCAACTGGACGGCTTAGTTTGGCCTATTGTGAATTTATTTTGCATCTATTTTGATAATTTAGACTATTTAATGTGTAGGGTTTGTTAATTATTTTGTCCCTATGAAAAATTACATTGATTGGATATTAATAATCACTTAATTAGATCATATTTGTGTGAATAATTTATTTTTAAAATTATAATTACCGTTGACACAAATTTGACTTGATCAAGTGACTATCAATATTTGATCAACTTGATTTTTTGCGTAAATAAAGTACTTGACGATCTTTACATATTGACGGTCCGAATCATCGATTTGGGCTCTATGGTAGGCCCACGAAGGCCCAACAGCATGCTCCAGTCTGATTTCGGACTGGAGAGAAGCTACTGCCACAACAAAATTATACAATTGGTTTTTTTGTTATGATTTGTTGTGATGTTGGTTATGAAACATATTGTGGTAATTATTTTTGTTAGGTTTTTATTCTTAGCAATCCCATTTGACAAAATTTCTTTCAGTTGTAATTGTATTCGATCTTTTATTTCAGTGAGGTTATGAGTTTTAAATGTGAATCCAACTCAAATTGTACCTATGTAGAGGAGTTGCGAACTTAATCATATCAGGTTTGCCACTTCGCTGAGTATGTCGGGGATTGAGCTATTTGTTTGTCCACTCGAGTGGCCGATTGCGCACTCGAGTGGAGATCGAGACCTTTCAAAAGTTTTACTCGCCTGCAAAAGTACTGGGAGTTGTTTTTTTCGGCTCGAGCGATCATTCTTGCACTTTAGCATAGATCCGCTCGAACAACCATTCTTACACTCAAACGGAGATCATGGTTCTATTTTCTATAAATATGCGGTTCAGTCAGATCTTAGGGTTATGGCTTCCAGATCTTCTTCTTGGATATTAGGATTTATATCTGGAGCTTCTTTGCTAGTTTCTTTGATGTTTGTTTGAGTTTAAATCTGGTTTGAAAAGGATACATCAAAGGATTGTTTGTTTCGTTCAATACAAAAGAGAGTGTTGTTCTTTGGTGAATTCCGTGGAATTCAGGCCTGAAGCTTTGGTGGATTCCGGGGTGACTCATCGTCGTAATTCGACATCGGCGTTGTGGAATCAACGTTGGGCAAGACAATTCCGAGGTGAAGACGGGGCTAGAAGAGGCACATAGGGGTCGGTTTGATTCGGACATGGATTCGCTAGGTAATTGAGAGTACACTTGTGTAATTCCTTTATGTCTTTTTAGTGTATTGTTTTGTAACTTTTGCAATGGTTTTTTTTTTTTTTTTAATCACAATTAGAGGCGCTTCAATTGTAATTTTTCCACGTAAAATCTTTACATCAATTTGTCTTTGATTGCTTGATTGAGATTGTTATTAACTGTTGAAAATTGATATATAATCACAAATCAATATCTAAAAGATTTCTAGATTTTCAATTTTAGTTATAACCAAAAAAAACTTTTAATTATGTGTCAAGTAGTATTTGATTATGATATAATGTGATACATTTACTTATGACCCACTGTCATATGAACACTGTAAAATGTCATAATTTATATATAGTGCATCTGTTTTTGACAGTGTGCATAGTAGAATCAACCATCAAGAAACCACCTTTGATTGCATAAAACAAAAGATCTGCCGCTAAACGGAAATTTTACTATGCGCATCCCATGAAAGGGGTGTATTATATGCATTTATAATTATGTTATTTTTTTATTTAGTTATGATTATTTTTTTTTTAGTTATGATTGATGAGATTTTTTATTATGCCTCATGTGTCGTTTGATTATGATTTTTTTTAATTATGATTCAAAAAGTATTGAATTGTATCATTTTTTTTTTTATAATTATAATGTGTATACGATAAAAAGAGTGTATCCCGCCCCTAAAATGAATGTATGGTATGCCCTTCGTAGTAATATCATAAAATTGAATTTTCACACCTGGTATAATTTTTGCTCAACACAAAACGTACGACTTTCATTCCATTTTAGAATGTGCACAGTAAATTTGTCAGCCAAAACTTTTATCACAAATTAACATTACACGATAAATATTCCTAACTTTCATCATGAAAAAGGAATATTTTTCTTAGAATGTATCGACCTTGTGCACTCCATAGATTTCCAGTAGAAGAAGAAAAGGGAATCTAATAAAACCAAACAAGCCATCTTTGCTGCTTCATTGATGAACAAATAATAAAGTAAAAAAAACTTACCACAGATGGAGCTTCCAAACCATCTTTCAGAGATAACCATGTATTCTCTTTCAACAATGATGCCATATTCCATTACCAAATTGTGAAGCAAATCCAATAGTTTCTCTCTCAACCTTTTCCTTAAATATGTGAAAACAAAAGCTTAATTCCTCAGCATTAATCTTTTTCAAAAGGAAATGTCGACCAAAATCACTTCATCTCTCTCTGATATCCCCTCCTCTAGCACCTGCAATGACCAAACTTTCTCCTCTGACAATCCGACCGAGATTGCGATGTCCCATAACGTTGACAACAAAGAAATCGGCAAACCACCCAGCCCTGCAGGTGTGGATCATCCAGAAGCAAAAAAACAATCCTCAATACTAAATTTTCTTCGTTCTTTTAAATTCTGCCATAAAAGCTCCAAACCCACTTCTATTGACAACAAACCCATCACCAAGAGCGAGCCCACGTCAAATTATGGCGACAACAACATCAGCAAATCTGAGGCCCTTTCTAAATTGATTGCTGCAAATTTGAATTCCCTTGACGAGGCTTCAAAGAGGATCATAAAGTACCAAGATCAAATCAAAGCTGTGTCTGACAGGTTCAAGATGCTCAAAGAACAGGGTGGAAGTGAAAAGGATTTTGTGGAATTGAACAAGTCTGTCATGAAACTGAAGCAGCAGATCTCTTCGAAGCACGAGGTTGAGCCTAAAGAGTCCAATGCGCTCCGCAGTCTGTGGAAAGATGACGCACTCTTCTACAGAGATAATGCCAATGACCCGCCCGAAAACCCAGAATTTGAGAAATTGCTCGAAAAACCAGGATTTATGTTTTGGTTGAATTGGGAAAGATATCAACAGCTTAACACTGCGTCGAAGTTGTGTCTTCGGGTTTTTTCAGTGTTCCCGGAAAATGCTGAAATAAAGAAGAGGGTGATGATGAACTGGTGGATTGGGGAAGGTCTTGTGGAAACAGAGCAATTCGCTAATGAATTATTCAACGACTTTATTGGGAAGGAATTCATTAAACCCGTGTGGGAAAAGCGTAGCCTTGAAGTGAAAATCTGCAAGATGGACCCTTTGGTTCGTTATAGGTTGATTAAGTTTGACAAGATGCTTCACTCCCGGGGTTTTAATCTGCAAGGTGCACCCTTTGGTCTTAATCGTTTAACGCAGATCAGGTATGCCATGGGGATGGATACATTGTTTAATGTTAATGAGTCTTTTCTTGAATTCGAACCTGAGTATTTTTCATCGATGAAAGAACTACATGTTCTTTATTTGGGAAGGTGGCAGACCTCGCCCACGCATCACATTGAAGTTGCCGACATCAAGTCCAAGAAGAAAAATGCAAATGTTTTGGATGGGTTGGAAAATCTCACAAGTCTAAGGTTTCTGAGTCTTCAAGGAATCTCTAGAATTATAGAGCTTCCCGAGTCCATTTCAAAGCTCACTAATCTTACGATCCTTGACATTAGAGCATGTCACAACCTTGAGGTAATTCCTGATGGAATTGGCTTGCTCAAGAATTTGACACACTTGGACATGTCTGAGTGTTACCTCCTAGATCAGATGCCCAAGGGACTTGCATCGCTTTCCAAACTCCAAGTCCTCAAAGGGTTCCTTGTTTCAGAGGACAAAAACTCTTGCACTCTTGATGATTTGCATGGATTCTGGGAATTGAGAAAATTGAGCATTTACGTTACTGTAGATGGATTTCCTACAAATAAAGATTTGCGTGCTTTAAATCAGTTCAAAGTGCTTACCAAGCTAACGATCGCATGGGGAAGGGGCTCAAGATCATTTACCTCTAAGCCAGCAGAGGTGGCAATTCCAGTGCTTCCCTTAGGACTAATAAAATTGGATCTTCAGTGTTTCCCTTGGACGATTACACCTAGTTGGCTGAGAGCTTATAATCTGAAGAACTTGAAGAAACTCTATATCAGAGGAGGTAAATTCTCTGATCTGGGTCAATTTCAGAAACTTGATGACAAGGAAGCAGAAAATGAAAGTTGGGAAGTTGAGGTATTGCGGCTCAAGTACTTAGATCACTTAGAGATGGATTGGTTTGCTCTGCAAAAATTATTTCCAAAATTGAATTACTTGGAGAAGGTAAAATGCCCGAAACTCACTCGGTTCAAATGCGACGAGGAAGGAGTGTGGATGAGTTCAGATTGAGATAGTGAGTTTGGAAGATGGAATCATACAGTCGAGCCAGCATTCCGGTTCAGAGAGGCACTATGGTCTTGAAACCTTAATAAAAATCACAATCAAACTTAGATTTTTATTTGATGGTAAGAATAAAAATTATTGTAATACAAATGTTATATTTAAATATAAGCTCGAGTTAAATGATGTTAATTATTTTTTGTTTTTAATTTGATTTTATGTGTGATGATTATATGGTTCAAAAAATAATTATATGCCTTATAAAATATGAAAATAAAATTATAATAGTTACACACAAAAGAGATGTAGATAGAAATAAAAAAAAGGGCAAATTACATATACACCCCTCCAGGTTTGGTTAAATTACAGATACCCCCTGAGGTTTCGGAAATTACATCCCGCCCCTGAGGTTTGTATTTTCATAACAATTTACCCCCTGAGGTTTATATTTCATAACAAATTACCCCCTAATTTCTTATGCAAATATAGCATTCAGGGGGGAATTCGTAATTTCTCAAACCTCAGGGGGGTATCTGTAATTTTGTCAAACCTGGAGGGGTGTATATGTAATTTGCCCAAAAAAAAATGAGAGGAAAGGTGAATAAATAATACAAAGACATTGCTATATACTATTATTTTTTATTTTTTATTTTATTTTAATAGTTTTGAATCATTGAATTATATAATAATATGTTAATAATCGTGTAATTAATATTTATAAACAAATAAATTAATTATGGGTATTTATATGAGAAGTGATATAATAAAAAAAACCTCGATAACATATAATATTTTTCTAATATGAAAATATAATTTTTCAAATGTTGTTGGAGACGTCACCCACTAATCCTTACTTGCATCTGCCACTGGCATCATAGATATTTGTGGTCGAAATAAAACAAATTAAAATGAAACAACTTATGTTATTGTACTCCTCTCCTTTATATGCAACGAAAGAAAAATGATGAATTATATAAATGTTCTTTATAATTTAATATTTTTCTAATATAGAAATATAAATTTTTAAATGTTGAGGGACACGTCATCCACTAATCCTTCCTTGCAAGTTGCATCTGCCACTGGCATCATATATATTTGCGGTAGAAATAAAACAAATTAAAATAAAATAACTTGTGTTATTGTACTCTTCTCCTTTTTTTTATTTGCAATGAAAGAAAAATGATAAATTATGTAAATCGTCTCTATAATTTATACGATGTGTCAATTTGGTATTTGTTGTTTTTGGTTTTGCCTTTTAATTTAATAAATTGTGTCATATTAGCTCAATAAATAACAGATATTAGGTTTGATAGACAGAAAAACGATATATCAATTTGGTTCTTGTAATTTACACAATGTGTCAATTTGGTCCTTGTCAAAATCGAGTAAATTAAAATAATAGAGACTAAATTGACCCATCGTATAAACTACAGGAACCAAATTGACAAATTGTTTGACTTTCCGTCCACCAAACCTAATAGCCATTATTTATTGGATTAATATGACACAATCTGTTAAATTAAAGGAAAAAAACGAATAAATTAAAACAATATAGACTAAATTGACACATCGTATAAATTACCAAAGAAAAATGTTATGCAAAAAAAAAAATTCAACAAACTTTTCCTACAAATTGACATAGGCACTCAGCGGTTAAATTTTAAAATGTGACATTTTATTAATACCATATTTTGTTTAAGGTTATATACCATAAATATGATATTTTTTTCTGCAGGAGTCAATATTAATCATTGAGCTCTTATATTATCATTATTTGATAGATTATCTCAGAATTTTGTAACTTGATCTCTTAGAGTAGTTTTTACAAAAGTATTTAGACCTCATGTGTCTATAACTTGTCCCGCTACAATAATTCTTACTACGTGAGTTCAATTATCTATAACTTCTTCTATATTAGTTACACCGTCTAGATCAAGATATATTTCATATTTAGTAATAGGTTTATTTTTTGCAACTTTAAGAATAAAGTCATATTTTATATGAGTCTTTAATAATCCTCTTTTTCCTAATTTTATTTTCTTTTTAAAAGATTTTTCTTCATTAGATATTTATAAAATCTGAATGTTTCTAAAATCAAATTCTCAAATGATTTGTTTATTTTGGATATTTATGATTTTCTTTCTAATTGATAGCGTTATTCTTTTAACTCAGTTGGATCAATAAATTTACTTATTGATTTTTTAAGCGCTTCTATGTTTCATAGTTATCCATATATAGATTTAAATATTTTTTTCCTTCTAAGAGATTTTTTTTGTTCGGATGTACTACTATCATCCTGATTTTTTTCATCTTTTGCAATTTTTATAGTTTGTTTAATAACTATATAAGAAGTTCTAAATTTTTTAATAAAACTTTCTTTTTTATTTTTAAGAGAAATTTCTTTTATTTCTCTTAACTCTTTAGATGTTTCAATAATCATGATATTTTGATTTCTGTAAATATTTAAAATTTATTAACTCACATCTATTAAACTATTTAATAGTCTTGTAATCTTAGTTTTACTATTTTTATGATCGAGTTGTATAAAGTTTTTTACATGTATTCTATCAATCATTTAATATTGAATTTTAATGTTTAAATTTTTTCTAAATTCGATTTCGAGGCTCTAATATTAAAATTGAGGATCACAAAATCTTCTAAGTGAAAACTAAATTTTACAAAATTATATTAAATTCAATATAAAATTATACTAAAATTTTGGAGTTATTTTGTAATTTATAAAACTTAAGATGATGTGAATTTGTCTATGATAAGGTGAATAATGAGGTGGAAAGTCACCTAATTAGAGATGTTTTTAGAGAGAGTAAATTATAGTAGTTTTAAAGATCCTAACTTGTAGGGATCCAGGGCCGGCCCTAGGCTAAGGCTGGTGAGGCTTGTTCCTAGGGCTCCAAAAATTAGGCCCAAAAAAAGGCCTCCAAATTTAGTCTTGCACTCTATGAAAAATTTAAAATGACTCAATTCTGTTTAATTAATTTAGACAATTTTAAAGCGGGCTTTAAAAAATCTATTTGGCCCAATTGATAAAAGGCCCAATTAAAAAATATTTATAAGTTGGGGAATTTTTTTTAAGGTCCCTAATAAGAGTAATTTACAGCATAAAGGACACCAAAAATAGGAATGATGTCTCAAGTCCCTCACTAACGACAGGCGCGTTTTTAATTTTTTTTTGGATCAAAATACCCGTCACAGATCAACATAGAATGCTCAACTCGATTGCATTCCAACGACTCAATTCATTCCAAACATCCAACCATTTTCATGAATAAGAGAACATGAGAATTAGGGTTTCACTATCATCTTCACTGTCGCCATTACGGTTTCATTTAGGGCTGTTCGGGGGTCGGTTTTGGCCGGGTGCGGGTCAAAACCGACCCGACCCGCACTTATGCGGTTGGGAAAAAATGGACCCGCAACCGCCCGCGATGCGGTTCGCGGTTTGTGCGGGCGGGTGCGGTTCGGTTTGCGGTTTAGTTTTTTTTTTTTTTTTAACTTAAGCAAATTTGACATTTTTTGTTACTTTCTAAACACTTTTTTTTTTTTTTAAGAAGAGTTATAAATTAAATTACAAGATATACAATTCATGATCATAATAAATAGTCTACATGTTAGATAAGATGATATGGAACCATGTTTGAGCATAGTAATTAATCTTCCTCCTTAGCTTGCAAAAACAAACCCTTAAAAGTCAAACTAGTAACACTAATTTATATATGCAAAAACAAACCCTTAAAAGTCAAACTAGTAACATTAATTTTAATAGTGGATTAATCTTCACTGTTTAGCTTTTAATATGCAATAATGTGATAATAGAATGACAATTCAAAATATCATATTTAACTGTGTCTACTAGACTAATAGAATTTAGGGTTTCACTATCATCTTCACTGTCGCCATTACGGTTTCATTATCTTTTGCCAAACTCTTTTCAATTCGTTCCTCACAAATTTCTCTAACCCGTTTTCATTGTTCATCATCATCTCAGTTCATCTTCATCTCATTGCATCTTCATCTCAAGCCATTTCAGTTCGAAATTAGGGTTTTCATTATCACTCTGGTAAGTTTTCTCCAATCCGACTAGTTTTTCTCCGCCACACAATTGACTAGCCTTCCATTAATTAGGATTTCAATTTCGTAATAAAAACCTACATGAATTTGAAAAATGTTATTTCTCTAAGTTTCGAACTTATTCTTGAAGATGTTTGTGTGATTTTGTCTGTAAATTTCTCTGTCATTTGAATTTCTCTGGTATTTGCTTGATTATGTGTTTTCTTTGAATTTTCTCTGACATTTTATTCCCCCATTTGTTTCTGGTTATTCCATATTTTTCTCTGGTTTTTTGTAAATTTCTCTGGCATTTTCATATTATGGAATTCATATTTTTTTTGGCTTGCCATGTTTAATTTTCTCTGTCATATATGTAATTTTCTCTGGCTTGCCATGTGTAATTTTCTCTGGTATGTTTATTTTGTTCCATTCTTGAATTTTCTCTGGCCACATCACTTTTCTCATTTGTGTGTGTCTGTTATGTTCAATTTTCTCTGGTTGTCTATAAATTTCTCTGGCATTTTTATATTATGGAATGACATTTTCTCTAGTTTGCCTTGTTTAATTTTCTTTGGCATATATGTAATATTTTATGGCTTACCATGTGTAGTTTTCTCTGATATGTTTATTTTGTTCCACACTTGAATTTTTTATGGCCACATCATTTTTCTCTTTTGTGTGTGTATGTCATGTTCTATTTTCTTTGGTTGTCTGTAAATTTCTCTGGGATTTTTATATTATGGAATGCATATTTTCTCTGGCTTGCCTTGTTAATTTTCTCTGGCATATATGTAATTTCTCCTGGCTTGCCATGTGTAATTTTCTCTGGTATATGTTTAGTTTGTTCCATTCTTGAATTTTCTCCGGCCACATCACTTTTCTCCTTTGTGTGTGTTTGTTATGTTCCATTTTCTCTTGTTGTCTGTAAATTTCTCTGGGATTTAATTATTATGGAATGCATATTTTCTCTGGCTTGCCTTGTTAATTTTCTCTAGCATATATGTAATTTCTCCTAGCTTGCCATGTGTAATTTTCTCTGGTATATGTTCAGTTTGTTCCATTCTTGAATTTTCTCAGGCCACATTAGTTTTCTCCCTTGTGTATGTCTACCATGTTCAATTTTCTCTAGTATGTTTATTTTGTTCCATTCTTAAATTTTCTATGGCCAGAATGAAAAATCAACTCCATTGTCAATAACAAAGAATGAAAAATCAACTTCAAAAATCAAAAAATAATTCACTAAGCTGGCTTTTCTATCACTTTGATCAAAACTGAAAATAAAAACCTAATTCAAAATAAACTACAAAAACTTATTTGAAATCGGAGTCCATATATACAAATCAAATGAAAAATAAAAAACTTAAACTGATTATTAAACTTACTTGATTCAGCTCTACTGGAAATTCGAGCTTCAACACGACTTCAACTTCTACACGATCAACGAAACTCAACTACTATACGACTACAAAATTCCTATAAAATTTCCACGAAATCTGCATCATCGAAATCTCCATCGATCGCCAAGTTCATCCCAAAGTAATCTTTCACAAAAATAGTAACGTAATCTTCAGATTCCAAAATTGAAAACCACGTATAATATACAAAAGGGTAAAATAGGTATTTTATAAACTAAACTAACATTGAGGGACCTTAGACACCAGAAAATATTATTGTGGATCTCTCCTCATACTAAAAGTTGGATAGGGACCTTAGACCAATTTTCCCTTTATTTTATCTTTCATATTTTTTAATCCAACTGAAATAGCCAAACAATCTATATGATCATGTAATTTGTAATGCACTGTGTTGGTACGAAACAATCATCAAATTCAAAAAACACAATGTACACAGTAAATTTCTCTGCACATAGTAAATTTCTCTGGATGAATTTCACCTCACAAATTTCTCTAGATGAATTTGACCTTACAAAACATAGTGCACAAAGTAATTTTCTCTGTTACTGGCAAATTTCTCCTGATAAATTTGCCACAATGCACATAGTAAATTTCTTTGGATGAATTTGACCTCACAAATTTCTCTACTATTGACAAATTTCACTGGATGAATTTGACCTCACAAAACGCAATGCACATTTCAACAAACACAATGCACATAGCAAATTTCTCTGCTATAGAAAATTTTTCTGGATCAATTTGATTGGTATTATAAAGGCACTCACAAAGTATGTTTCTAAAAACGCAACATAAAAAGTAATTTTCACTGCTATTAAAAAATTTCTCTAGATGAATTTAATTGGTATTATATATGCACTGTCCAAAAAGTACAATTCACAAAATAAAATACACAAAGTAATTCTCAAATGTATTATTCAATCAATAAATGTAATATCCTCAACTATTTAACAAAGGTTCCTTGCATGTCCTCTTATTATAGCGATCAATCCTATCACATTGACTACACTTAATCACCCTTTTAAACTCTTTAGTAGAAGCAATTTTGTTCTTCTTTGGCTTCCCAGCTGGTCTCTTACTCAATGCAAGTAAAATCATAGCATCATCAATTCAATTCGCATGAAACATTAATGATAATAGTATCATTCCCATATTTGCACAGCAACAACACTACACTGTCCATCTAAACTAAAACAAAAAATACCAAAAATAACTTGTTCAATATAAAAATACTTCACAAGAACAACATAAAAAGTCTAGAGAAATTTCTAATAATTATAATTTTCTCTGGATTATAATACCTACCTTATAATGTTCTCTGGACTCAAATAAAAGTCCAGAGAAATTTACAAACTTAAATTCACCTTCAAGATAACAAAAACAAAATTGCAGAAGAATTAATGAATCTAGCGAAAATCACAGAGATATTCAATGCTAACTATTAAACACAATCATAGACAAAAATCACACAGAAGATCAGTTATCAAATTATAAGCTTCTCTGTGATTTTTACTGGACTACAAGTTTATAATTTTCTCTGTGTGATTGTGCATTATTGGACTCAAATCAGAATGCAGAGAAATTTCTCTGGAATATAAACATACAATTTTCTCTGGAATATGAACATATAATTTTCTCTGGAATACAAAGCAAAGTGTAGAAAAATGAAAAGTGCAGAATAAATGAAAAAAACAGAGCACAAAACTTAAGACAGTGAAGAAAAACAGAGCCGGTTTCCAAACACGAAGAACAAAACTTATCATTGATAAACATGTAACACAGAATAAAAAATCAACTCCATTGTCAATAACAAAGAATGAAAAATCAACTTCAAAAATCAAAAAATAATTCACTAAGCTGGCTTTTCTATCACTTTGATCAAAACTGAAAATAAAAACCTAATTCAAAATAAACTACAAAAACTTATTTGAAATCAGAGTCCATATATATAAATCAAATGAAAAATAAAAAACTTAAGCAGATTATTAAACTTACCTGATTCAGCTCTACTGGAAATTCGAGCTTCAACACGACTTCAACTTCTACACGATCAACGAAACTCAACTACTATACGACTACAAAATTCCTATAAAATTTCCACGAAATTTGCATCATCGAAATCTCCATCGATCGCCAAGTTCATCCCAAAGTAATCTTCCACAAAAATAGTAACGTAATCTTCAGATTCCAAAATTGAAAACCACGTATAATATACAAAAGGGTAAAATAAGTATTTTATAAACTAAACTAACATTGAGGGACCTTAGACACCAGAAAATATTATTGTGGATCTTTCCTCATACTAAAAGTTGGATAGGGACCTTAGACCAATTTTCCCTTATAAGTTTTAGTTGTTAGTTCAATTAAAAAATAAAAAATAAAATATATGTATATATATTAGTCGTTAACCTAATTTTGTGTGGCTTATTTTTTTTCTCTCGTTATGGCCCAATTATGTGTTTTTTAGTATTTTTTTAAAAAATATATTTTACACAATATTTATTTATTTATTTTGTAGATACATCTAATTTAAATATGCTTAAAAACTATAACATATATATATATATATATATTTAAAAAAACATTACCAAATACAAAAAAAATATTAAAAAAATACGAATTGCAAACTCAGACAAATATTTTTAAAAATTCTAAACCAAACAGAGTGATTTTTATTTTTATTTTTTATAAATATTTAAAAAAACTCTGAAAAATTATTTTGCCTTAGGCTATCGGAAACTCTGGCCGGCCCTAGATCCCAATCCTATAATGCAAGTAGGGATGGCAATGGATAACCTACCCTGTGGGTATCCATGAAGACCCAATCCAAATATATGGATTTTTTCCTTTTTTTTCTTATCCATTGGGTAGGGTAAGTGATTTTCTTTAAAGGGCAAATTACACTATTAGTCCCTATAGTTTGTGACTCGTGTCACTTTAGTCCCTGACTTTTCAATTATGACACATTTGACCTTAAATTTTGAATCTTGTTTCAAATAAGGACAATTGAACATACCATTGCTTAATTTCAAGGGCAAAATCGTCAATTTAATAAAATATAAACTAATTTGACCAAAATAAGTGTCAAAAAAATATTTTAATTCTTTTTAAAAATTATTTCTACCCACCAAAAATAAAATTATGTAAAATTGATAAAAAATAATAAAAATTACATAATTAATTTTTAAAAATTAAATTTACATGATCATCATCTAAATACATAATAAAAATTAATTTGGTAAAAAAATAAATAAATGTCTAAAAGATTTATCAATTTTATATAATTTTATCTTTAGTAGCTAGAAATAATTTTTAAAAATTTAAAAATAATTTTTTCACATTTATTAATAAATGTCAAATTAATTTATATTTTATCAAATTGACGATTTTACCCTTGAAAAATCCAATAGTATTTACAATTGTCCTTATTTGGAACAAGATTCAAAATTCAGGGTCAAATGTGTCACAATTGAAAATTCATGGACCAAAATGACACAAGCCCTAAACTATAGGAACCATTAGTGTAATTCACCCTTTAATTAAGGAAAATTTATTATAATTTTTTTTAAGTGTTTATATTTCAATTAGTCCATATTATTTGGACATTTGATCTACCAAATCTTATTTCTCAGAGAGGGGGTCACCCCCCTCTGATTTGGAGGCTCAAAATAGTGTGCTAGCCGCTGAAAATCCACTAGATTTCTGTGGCTAGAAGGCCAAACCAAGCATGCAACAAGAGCTTAGGTGTAAGGCTCAAAATAAGGGACAATCAAGCATACATGGAAACATATGACCTCAAACAAGAAAATTTCCTCAATCAAACATGAAGATGATGCCAAAATGAGACTTTTTCCAATTTATAATAGATCTCCAAAGTGAACACAAATAGGGCTAATCTATCATGCAAAAATGGCCTTAAAAGAGAAGATAGAGACAAGGGATAGCAGCTGGCCCCAAACAGTAAAGAGCCCTTCAACAAAGTTGAAGAGGGGCTCAAAATAAAGCACTTTACAGTTTGGCTCGAAGCCCAAAAATTCTTACAAACAGGGCTAACATATCATGCAAGAAATAGCCATAAAAGAGGGATAAAGGGAAAGGGGTAGCAGGTGGCTTCAAACAGAGAAAACCCCTTGATCAAACATGAAGACAAGTCCAGCAAGACTCCGTAAACTGTCACCACAACTGTCACAACATTGTCTGTTACAACGGTCCGACATGACCCCATAAACTGTCACGAGTGCCCTAAGGGCATTGGTTAACAAAGCTTAAAATGATTGTACATTCTCAAGGCAGACACTCTCATGAAGAATGTACAACTATTTCAAACTCATTAACAAAATCCTTCTTGTAATAGAATACCAATCAATCATAAGAATATGTTGACAACAAATCAATCATAAGAAAACAGGCAAGACTGGAACACAACTGTGTGTTACTAAAGAGAACACTTAAAATCAAGAGTTTAAATGACATGGGAAATATGCAACACAATCTAGGACTACTTTTGTGGAAAAGAAATTTACGCTTTCAAGGGAAAGAACTCGACAAATTGTGGCAGTAGTCCATATTGATAGTGACAAAGCTTCCTCAGCCGCAGATAACTTCAGATTAACCTTAAGAAAGTCATCCATTTTCAGCAATCTTGAGTGAAAATATTATAAAGAAACAAAGTCTAACAACTAATAAGAAACCAAATATTATACCTCAGCAGTTTCCAATGACTGCTGCAATTTCTGATCCAGGTATCTTTCACTTAGGTCAAGAGCAGAAACTGGAGGCCTCCTATACGCAATAGCCTGTAAATGCTCAAGTGGATGAAAAACTATTTCACTTCCTCGGGTGGGAATAGACATAGCATGATAACCACAAACTATCTGTAGTAGATCATTTTTATTCTCCTGTCAAAGAGACCACAAAAATAAAATGATAATGGCAATCAAAATATCACCAACATTACATAAACTTGTAAGCACAGGAAGCAAACCAACCCTAGCCCATTCCATTATTATATCATCCCCAGCCACTTTTTCATGGTAGAAAAAGATTTCATCGTCTTCATCCTCTGATCCAATGCTTCTTGCTGGACTGCCAAAAGTCAAACAATATATTTACTGAAATCATACTATGGATATAAAACATACAGTGGAAAATAACACACTTGCCAAGCTACTCAGTGTATAACTAAATAGATAGAAAACAACAGAACAAAAAGCAAAAAGAAACTCCAAACCAAAATCAGAATTGTGAACATAATTCTTGAGAACTAGTTGACTTTACAAAGGAAAGACACCCCAAACAAGTAGTAAATAAAACATATCAACTCAAGTTGGCCTTACCCAGCAACACAACACAGTATATTGTAAAAAATACTTGGAAACTACACTACCTGAATAAGGACTCGGAACTTTCCAGACAATCCAACCTTGGGCTCCGACGGTAGATACCCGTCCCAACCTCTGGAGTAGTTTGGCCATTATACCGGAATAAGGACTCAGAACTTCCCAGACGCTCCAATGTTGGGCTCCGACGATAGACACACATCCCAACCTCTGGAGGAGTTTGGCCATTATCACAACTTCCACTCATTCTTTCTAAACCATCAAACCGATTTTCTGAGGTCTCAGAGGCATTGTCATCGAAATAATGCAGATTCTTTTTTCCATCCTTCTCTGTTTCCTTTGTTTGGCTATAATCTGAAGCCCCGCTGATGCTACCACTTTCAGGAGACACAGATTCCCATAGATGGTTTGGTGTGCAAAGCTATATGGTATGAATGGGATTTGAAAAAGATTAAAAAATAATGTGAAAGAAAAATAAAGAAAGAAATAATAAAAATATATTTGAAATCAAAATGAAAGATGGGGGAAATAAGGAAAGTGGTTTGGAGAAAATAAATAAAAATAATGGATTTTGAAATCAAACGGAGGAGAGAGAGGGGACAAGCCCATGTGAGAGAAAGAGGGGAAAAATGATAGCCGATGCACCCAAAAATAATCTAGCTGCTATCCACAGGCGCTTAGGGGAAGGAAATGGTAGCAAGAGACGGCCAACACCATATATGGCTATAGCAAAGAAATGGAGTATCAAGCTCAATGGGCTAGGATTTAGACCAGAGAGTAAAGCCACTGGTCCTGTTGAACATACACCTCCAAGGCTCAAATAATCAAAACATGCTTCACGCATTTCCTTCCTTGCTTGATCAGGAGATGCACAAAACACCTTATATAGGGCTCCAGTCATTCCTCCACCAGTTAAAGGATGACGCATGTTGAAAGCATCACCTATTAATAGTGCTCCAGGAGTAGGGTAAGGAGCAGCTGGCATACTTCTATTGGGCATTGTTCTAATACTTCCCTTATCAATTGCAGCTATAAATGAATCATGCAGCTCAGGTGGAACCTGGGGAGCCACCAGAGGGAAGCAAAGCCGAAGGCTGCTGCAAAGCCGAAGGCTGTAAAAGCGAAAAAGGAAAAGAAGGCTCCGGCTAAGACAAAAGCTGCTGCGCCAAAAGCTAAAGCCGCTGTGAAGCCCAAGCCAGCGGCAAAGGCCAAGCCAGCTGCGAAGCCAGAAGCTGCTGTGAAACCGAAGGCTGCCGTGAAGCTGAAAGCTGCAGTGAAGCTCAAGGCTGTGGCGAAGCCCAAGGCTGTGGCGAAGCCCAAACCAAAACTGAAGGCGAAGGATCCTAACAAGAGGCAAATGAGCATGGAGGAGAAGCATAGATTGAGTGTTGGGTTGCAGAGTTTGCCCCAGGAAAAGATGCCACAGTTAGTGCAGATTATGAAGAAGAGGAATTCACATTGGTCTCAAGAGAGAAGATTTAGGCAGTGATGGGAAGGTATGTGTAGAAAATAAGCGGAATAGGTTGAGGTCCGGCGGGCGGCCAAGGCGAGGTTGCCGCCCGCCGGTGAAACGAAAAATACTAAGTGCTTAACCTTGCTCTGATACCATGTAGAAATTTAATGTATAAAGAGAAATAGAGAATTGTATTATTGATTGATTTATATTGATTGATCTACTGTCTATTACAAATGGTTCCTTATATAGATGTAGGTGTAGTGGATGGTGGTGGTAGGTGAGTGTAGTAGGTGAGTGTGTGGTAGGTGATGGTAAATTATACAATGTACATTAACACCTTTTGTATTGGTCCTTGTCAAACTATGGAGACTGTCTAGGTTAATGTGTATACATGCTGACTTCTTCTATTGCAGACTTTGACTGAAGGATTTGCCATGATTGGTTGCATGGGAAAGGTATAATGGCTTTTGAACTTCTAACTAATTAAATTTTGAAGTTTTCCCAAAATGCTGAACAAAAGGCCTCTGAGTTTGTATTTATCAAAAAGAAAAAAAAAAGGCCTCTGAGCTTGTGGGTCACCTAAAGGAGGCTAATATGTTTTGGAAAGACATTCCAAATTAATGAACTCTTGTCATTATTGTATTCGAGAACGATTAAAGCTGGCCTTTTACAGTCTCTTGTTGTTATTTCTTGTAGGGAAGTTCTTATACTCCATCAAAACTGCCATCCAAACCTCTTGAATTATGGGCATATGAGGTTAGACTGTTAGTCACTGATGGATGTTTGATGTATATATTGCAGTACAGATGAGGCACCTAATACAGAAATGTATTCTTATGATTGGTCATGCTTTCCTTTTTTTTCAATGGAACACTGTAGCTATATTGTTAACTTCTAAATAGTAATATTTTATTATTTTATCTTTCCTTCCAGCCGTCCCCATATTGCAAAATTGTACGTGAAGTACTTGTAGAGTTAGAGCTGCCACATTTACTTCATAGGTAAAGTTAATTGAGTATTTATGCATGCAAAGATCTTATTTCAACATCACTCTTTACTTTGATGGTGCCATCATGTATTGTCAGATGAAGACCTAGTATAGGTTTAACATCTGTTTATGTAGTCTTAACATAAATTGAATACACTTTCTATGATTTACTAAGGTCTTTTAGAATTTGGGTTTGTGGTGATATGTGTGTACTAATCTGACCGAAAAACAAAAGGAAAAGAGAACAGGTATATCTATTTATAGTCTATCGCTTTAAACCTTTGTTTATCATCTTCTCATGTTTGATGACTCTTGTTGAATCCTGTTCTTAACCTTATTGAGAAGATACTTCTAATCTTGTTACCAAAAGAATCTCCCTACATTTGTTGGAATGTGTCCCACATCGCCTGAAGTTGTCTCATTTGTGCTGGTTATAAGGCTCCAGTTTTCCTTGCCATAATACCTGGGTTTTAAGGAGAAGTGTGGGCTAGGCTTTTTAATTTACTATCATAGCTTGGTTGGGCCTGTGACTGGTGTGCCGTTTGTTCGGCTACTATATGTTGTGGTCCAGGAGGGTGTATTGGAATGTGTCTCACATTGCTTGGAGTTGTCCCATCTGTGCTGGTTATAAGGTTCCCGTTTGTTCGGCTACTATATGTTGTGGTCCAGGAGGGTGTATTGGAATGTGTCTCACATTGCTTGGAGTTGTCCCATCTGTGCTGGTTATAAGGTTCTAGTTTTCCTTTCCTTAATATTTGGATTTTAAGGGGAAGTGTAGACTGGACTTTTCAATTACACCTTATCCATAGTAAGATTTTAGTATCATAAATACTCGTGTTTGATAATGTTGATTTTTTAGCACCAAAAAAAGAAGATAACATTGATTTTTCTAACATGAATTTAACATTTTTTGATTTACATCAACATACCTTTGGATCATATATTTGTTCCTTTCATATGATTGGATGTGCAGACCTCAAACATGTTGAATTATTTATTTTTAAGGTCAAATTATACATTTACAGAGGTTTGTCTTCGTTTCCACGCATTCCCAAAACTTTTTGGCCTTCCTCTTTATGTTTGTTGCAATGGTTTTGAAATATTTCGGGTGTCTTTGGTTTGTGTTTGTAGAGTAGTTTTTTAGATAAAAAGTACGAAAACTTGTTTGGGTTGTCTTTTTTCAGAAATGGTTTTGGAAAATTGTTTTGGGAATAGAGTTTTAAAAAAAGTGATTGATTTGATGTGTATGAGAGAGAGATTGATTTTGGAAAGTATGTAACCAAACAAAATTTTGAGATTTTTTTTAGAAAAATTTGTTTGGTTTGATTACTCTTGAAAATTTGTTTGTAGAGAATTTTTTCCAAAATTTTTTCTGAAAAACAAACCAAACAAGGCCTTCACGTTTCAAGTTGACCAAAATGTCACAACAAAACCAATGTTTATCCTTGGGTATGGAGAGGACAGGGCAAGATAGTTCAATGTAGGTAGTGAGGTAATGAGAAAAGATATACTAGGACATCACTTGGTAGAAAGTATATATGTGAAGCATATTGGTGAATAAGATACAAGTTGCCAACCTTAACCAGTTACAGAAAAGGTTTGTTAATTGAGTTGAATTGGCCTGAATTGAATTGATAGTAGTCATTGCCTCTAGGGAAATTACTACTTTATATATTGCCTAGGCTCCAATACTTGATACATTTTTTTGGTATTTCTCTTAGTAAAGTATATTTTGGAACCTTTTTTGGTATATATTTTTAGTGAAAAGCTGTTCATTTACATTTTAAGGTTTTCTTAAAAACTCTCTGTTTACAGTTGTGCTCGTGGCAGCCCAAAATGACAGATGCTATATGAGAAAGTTGGACATTTCCAGGTATTCTCCTTTTAATTCTTCTACGGATTTTCATTTCTTTAACATATCATTTGTAGTAGAGCCTTGAGTTCTAATAGTGTGATGTACTCAAATATACCCCTATTGTATCACATTTTAGAGCATGTAGCGTACTGTGATCCTATTTAGGTCTGTCATAGTGCAACGATCCACATTCCAAGTAGCATAGGGTAGAACGTTTTATGTGCATATTTTGTATATTTCATATTGCTTCAATTGGCCTTAAAAAATAAGATCGTGTTACTGTCACTGCAACTGTTGACAGGCACCTTCTTTAGAGGACCCAAACGCAGGAGTGCAAATGTTTGAGAGCGCAGAGATCATTGATTATTTAAGAGCAACTTACGCTCTTTAAAGAGGTTTTTGCTTCCTATGCTGTTGTATATGTTTGTATCATCTAAACATTTTCTTGTGAACCTATTTATGTGGATTATTTTGTTATTTAAAAAAAAAAAAAAATCATTAATAAGATGCATTATATATGTTTTTCACTTTGATCAGAATGAAGTCCCTTCATTTGGTGTTTGATTCTTTGGACTTCATATTGTACATTAATTGAATCCTTTCACCCTATACTTAGTTGAGTAGTTTTAATTATAGTGATATGGCATTCTGAATTGAAGAACAGGGTGGGGAAAAGTTGTCTACAAAATAATCCTGTACTACCTCACCAAAATCTCTCAATGCTATTCAATATGAGAGTTTTTTCACCATTGAATTTCTTTGTTTTTAAATTTTTACCAGAGCCGACACTTCTTTTAGGTGTTCACCTGAGGCCCTCAATTTCCCGAAAGCCCCATATTTTTACCCTCCCTGATCTTTGTCGAAATGCCTCAGGAATAGGGATGGCCATGGATAACCTACCCTGTAAGTATTCATGGAGACCCAACCCAAATACATGGATTTTCCCCTCTTTTTCTTATCCATTGGGTAGGGTAGGTGATATTCTTTAAATATCCACAGGGGATGAGTTGGGGTTGGGTACCCACTAATTTCCCCATATGTTTTTTTTTTTTTTTTTTTTTTTAAAAATTCCCAACTAAAAATATACATTCAATCTTTTTTCTTCATTTATTTATTTATATTTTTTCCAGGTTCACAACCATTTTTTTTTTTTTTTTTTTTTTTTAAGATCACAACAACCACAAATAAATATACCTCCAATCTTTTTTATTTTTATTTTTAAGGCTCAAACTTATTTTTTTTTTAATTTTTAAGATTCACAAACCAAAGCTATAATATTCATTTAATCTTTTTTCTTTTTTAATTTTTTTTTAAGGGTTCACAACCAATTTTTTTATTTTTTTTTTTATTTTTTTAAAGATTCACAACCCAACGCTAAATATACATTTAATTTTTTTTTCTTTTTTTTTTAAATTTTTTTTTAAGGTTCACACATTTTTTTTAAGATTCACAACCAAAGCTATACATTCAATCTTATTATTTTTTTGGCTCAACAATAAAATCAATATACATTAATTAATATTGTCACATTTTTCTTGTCAAATTTATGATATCTCAGAATTTTTTAAATTTATTTAAAAAAAATTAAGGACACTGTCTAGTGTAGGCTTCGGTTTTCTTTTTTAGTTATTTTATTTTGTTGTGTATGTAATTTCCGAATGGGTTTGCTCTGTTCTGAAATATTTCAATTAACGAGTATGAATCTATTTGTTTTATGTTATCACCACATTTATAACAACATTAGTAAAATATAATATATATATATGAATGTATTTGAAAATAAGGAAATTGTAGAGAATCAAAACAAGCATGAGTTGTGATTGGTTAGAAATGATGGGTACATAGATTTATTTGCTAGAAAAATAAAAAGGGGATACAAAGTCATACTAAATAATTTTTTTTAAATTAAAAGAATTTTTCTTAGTTATGAACAGATTTAACTGAAATCAGCTTGTTTCCCAATGTTATGCTTCATTTATTTAGATAGAAAATATTTTTTAATGAAAAATATTTTTTATAAAAAAAATTCAAAATATATTTTTTTATATTTGGTGGTGGTGGTGATGGAACGAAGGTGAAAGTAGAAATTGTTACATAGTGGTGGTGTGATGGCGGCAGTGATGATGGTAGTGGCTATGGTGATGGTAGTGTGACAGTGAGAGTGAGAATAGTGGTGATGGTGTTGTGAAATTAGTAAAAATTTAATTGAAAAAATATTTTTTGTTTTTTAAAAGTAACAAACAACAAAATTCGTGGGGACTAAAGGAAGAAGATGGAGGATGGATTGGGTGTGGTAATGCATAGATATCTTAAAATGAGTGGTTCAGATTTGTTAAGGTATAATTAGATTTTGGATAAATTAAAATGAATTGTTCAAATTTGCTAAGAGAAAGATGGTTTAATGTCTAAATTGTCCGTGGCTAACAATTCCTTGTTTATGCCCTGATGCATTTTAATATGAGTCTTATAACACTTTCTTCAAACAAACTTTTTGATTTTCTCAAAATTATATATTTGATTATTATAAAACAAACTTTTTAATTAATTAATTAATGTGTATTTGATTTTGTTGTTGAACCAAATAAAATAAAATAAGATTGAATGTATATTTAGCTTTTGTTGTGAACCTTAAAAAAATAAAAAATAAATAAAAAAATAAGTTGTTAACATTAAATATATTAAAAAAGAAAGAAAAAAGATTGAAGGTATATTTAGTTTTTGTTGTGAACCTTAAAAAAAAAAAAAGTTGTTGACATTAAATGTATTAAAAAAAAATAAAAAAGATTGAAGGCATATTTAGCTTTTGTTTGTGAACCTTAAAAAAAAAAAAAAGTGGTTGTTAACATTAAATATAAAAAATAAAAATGAGGTTTAAAGTGTGTTGGGGAAAATTCATACCCATTAAAAAATGGGGAGGGTGGTAGCCATGGAGAATGGGGAATGGGGAATGGAGAAAATTTATTATAGGGGAATGGGGATGGAGAATTAATATCCACCCCATTGCCCCCCATTGCCATTCCTACTCAGGAAAAGAAAAAATATTTTTTCTTCATCTAAAAGCCCAATTGAATTATTAGAAAAAGATACATTTCTTGTTCAAAGGCCTAGCAAACTAAAAACCACCCTTGTCCATAGGTTGAATAAATGAATGAGGTATTACTAAAAAAATGAATTTAGAAACACACCAATCAATTTGGTTTCCTTATCAAACTTGAAGGGGAACATGAACAAAACTGTGTTGTTTGAAAACGAAATCTGGGGTAATGCAGAGAAAGAGCCTCTTGCAGCTGCAAATTGAAGCCCAAGCCCCATTTGCCTCAGTAAGTAAAGTTCTTAAGGCCAGTAATTTAGAATTAATTCTTTAATTTAAAAAAAAGATTATAAATTAATTTGGTAAAAAATTGAAAAAACTAAATTAAATTTTTAGAAAAAAATTGAAATTTGGTTTGGTTTTTTGACAATTTTTTTGAATTAATTTTTGAAAAATATTTTTTTAATATTTATTTTTGTCAAACTAATTTATATAAATTTTGAAAATGAAATCAAACAGATTGATTTGTGCTCTTCTCTCTTGTTAACGCTTAACAAATTTTACGAAAATTTACATATCATACTATTAAAGTGGATGTATTTTAGATTGGTTGTTTGGGGTGTCCTAAATAAGTGCACTTTTTATCTTTTTGGACTAAAAAGTTGAGGGGAAAAAAATGAATGTTTGGGTTAACTTTTTGACTTTTTATGAAAAAATGTGTATTAAAAAATTATATAAAGAAGTGTGCATGAGAAGATTAGAGATGTGTGTTGTACAGCCGTACAATCTGCATGCACAGCCGAATTGATGGTAAGAAATTATTAGTTACATTTCAGGTATTGCACTGGACGGTTTTGTTCGGCCTGTGGAAGCCATCATGGGTCCCATTTTGATAATCTGAATCGTTCAATGTGTAGAACTCATCGAGTACTATATGCTTATAAAAAATCACGTTGATCGGATATCGATAGCTATCTGATCAGATTTGTTTTTTTTCAATCGTTAATTATAACACCATCATTTTTTTATACAAAACTGATTTGATCATGTAGTTGTCGATTTCCGATCAATGTGATTTTTTACAGACATATAGTACCCGACGAGTTCTACACATTGAACGGTTCAGATTATCAAAACGGGACCTGTGATGGGCCCTCACTGGCCGAACATCAGTGTGTGAAAATTGCACCAAACTGTGCAATTTTTCTTAACAAACGCAGCACAGAGCTTCACGGGTCAGATTGATGACTTGTACAGCTGTGTGGAAATTAATTTTTTAATATTTTTTTTGTGAATAGTGATAACTTTTTAATTTTTTGAGTAACTTTTTGGCTTTTTATCTTTTTAGGGAAATGTCAAACTGGGCCTTAATTTTTTTGGGTTAAATGACATATCATTAATTGGTAAAAAAAATTATTTGTATATTATTTTTCTTTGCTAAAAGCCTAAAGCACCATCTTATATCATTAAATATTATGTTTGGTTTATAGATTTGGAGTGAAATTTGAAAAGAGAGAGAAAAGGTATGTACAATGTGAATATAATATAATTGTATTTTACTTGCGTTTGACACAGATTTTTCTTTTTTCTTTTCACATCTTTTTTCAAATCCATGAACCAAATGCAGTTTTAATATTTTTATTTTTTATTTTTAGAGAAATCTAAACTTCACTTTAAGACCTACATGAATTTTGTATCATTTTATAATGGGAAAGACTATATGTAAGGAAGAATTACATGTAGGTAAGTGAAGGAAAAAAAAATTACAAATACATGGAGGTGCAAGTGTATTTGTGGTGGAGTACAAATGAAACACCGTGGCCATCCATGTATTGGTAATTTTTTTTCGCTTCCTCCTGCCTGCGTGTAATTCTAACAAAAAAGAAAATGACATAACTTTATATTTTTTGAGTCATAATTAAAATAAAATAAAATAAAAAGAATAATCAAATACCATATGAGATAAACCAAAAATTTCATAAGTTATAACTAAAATATTATCACAAGTAAAAGAAGGAAATTGATCTTAATTATAAAAAAAAAAAAAATAATTACATAACCTCTAATAGAATTTCCCTTTTATAATTAACTCGAACTCTAATCAAACGAAGAGTGCGTGTTAACAGTATTACCTGTCACGTTTCTGGCCACTCCCATGAAATACCGACACAAAATGGCGCTTATTACATTCACTCACTCATTTACACACACACAACGACAACTACTGTTTCTCTCACTCACTTGACTTTCTTCAATTCAACCCCCTCTCGCCGGAACCCTATGGCCGGAGTTCTGAACTTCGCTCCATCTCCGATTTTCCAGCAATTTCCGACTCGAAGAATACCCAAGACCAGAGTTTCAATCAGGTCATCTTCAGAATTCTCCGAAACGCCTCCGAATTCCGCTTCAGTGAGCACCAAAGAACAACCCAATTTAGGGTTTTCGCCTCCACCCAACTTCAAACCTCCGCAGCCGAAGCCCTTCTCGGTTAGACCTGATAAAATTCGTGACATCTTGGGAGCTGCTCTTGCTCTGTTTTTTCGCCTTGGAACTGGTGTTTTTGCCTCTGGGTATCAATTTACTCTCTCTCTCTCTCTGGGTATCAGTATTCTTGTATGGTAACAATAGGAGCTTAAAGAATATAACTTGGTGTGAGAATTGGTAGCTTCTTGTCCTACATGCTCGGACACGTGGAGATCCGAATGTGGCTGTAATTGTAGTTAGGTCTATTTGCGACAAGAGTAAATAGCAATAAGCAGATGACACAATCTAATCAACTTTTTTTTTCCTTTTCTGGTGGGGGTTACTGATAGATGCTTCTCTATGAATGTATTCTTGCAGGCAAGTTAAAGAATTTCAATAACTTAGTCAGAATGACAAGTATCAAAATGAAAATGCAATGCATCTCCTTTGACTCCTAAATGTCCGAGGATATTCCTCGTCCATCCTAAACCCATTATACTGTCATGATCGCTAATTTGACTCGTATTTTTGTTTTAGTTATGTCTTAGATTCTTAGCTTACTGAAGAGATTTGAACATGCTTATTGCAAAGATAAGTGTGATTCTTGCTAATCTTTTTGAAGATGAAACCTAATATATTCATGATAGAATGTAAAATATAATTGAAGAATTGAGGCGTGTTGTCTCTGAAAGAAGTTAATATGTGCTGCTCTCATAATATTACCAACTTCAACTTTTCAAATTTGATTTTGAAATCTTGTGCTTTTACTGATTTTTATTTTTTGGCAGGTATTCAGTATCTTTTGTGGCAAAGAATGAGGTTCCATCTGACAAGTATGCGCTTGAAATTGCTGGTAGTTAACAAATCTTCTCATTATTTCCATGTCATGTAACCCTAAGTTATTATGTGAGTTTTTTGTTGAAAGCTAGAGAAAGCTTATCAAAAAAAGAAAAGAAAAAATAAGATACTTTGATACTTTGGGCATGAGGGTTTCCATCCTCCATTTTTGACAGTCTTCATCATCCCTAAAGATTGTCCTTACTAGAATTCATAATTATTTGGCCAAGGAAAAATGTCCCAATCGTCATCATGATTTATTAATGAGCAACTTGCATGATTTGAGGCTCTGGCATCTGTCATATTCCTGTTAAATATTCTGATATCTCTTTGAATTCAATAATCAGCTCAATTACGTATACAGCACTGTTATACTGTAGTGGCTTTTGAATCCAAAAAAAATTTGGTTGAGTATTTTGCTTATTAGCTACTGTTACTTTGTCTAACATGTCCATCTGTCTTTGTTTCTTCATGTTTTATTTCCAAGTTCCTTGGTGGCTGTTTTAATCAACTACTGTAACTGCTTGTCACTTACCGGAATGAAAAAAAAAAAAAAAAAAAAAACTGTTGTTGCTTTGTCTAATATGTGCATCTGTCGTTGTTTGTTTGCGTTTTATTTTTAAGTTCCTCTATAGCTGTTTATATAGAATACCAGAAAAAAAAAGACTTGTGTAAAAGCTTGTAAAAAATTTCATTCCAAATGGTACCAAATTACCAATGATAATTTTTAGGGCAAACTTCACTTTACTCTCCTATGGTTTGGGCCATGTGTGGATTACCCCCTGACGTTCCAATATCACCACATAACCCTTCTGTGGTTGATGGAGTAATGTGCACAGTTAACACCGTTAACATCAGAAATAAAAAGACTATTTTGTCCTTGTATATATAACATTTGTTTAACATTTCTTATTCAAAAGTTGTGCATTTAAGAAGAGCAAGAGAGAGAACTTAGGGTTTTGATATATGAAATTAGGGTTTTGATTTAACAAATTAATTTAAACAAAATAATTTCTATCAAAAATTAATTTATTTAATGTTCAATTTGCCTTCAAGTTTAAAGTTCAACCCTTAATTTTTTTGATAAACAAATTATGATTCATCAGAGCAAAGCTTCTCTCTCTGTTTCTCGCAATCAGCCACCACTGTAAAAGTTAATCGAAGATCTGTCTACCCATGACATCAATATAATCCCTGGATGACTGCTTCAGGTCCATTGAAAAGTCTTGCTACCTTTTTGTAATGGAGCTGCAAAGTTGTAGCTCAAGCAATAACTATGTGGATACACACACACACACACACACATATATATATTTGATTTGATGATTATAAATAAAATAAAAAATGAAGAATTTCAGGACTTGAAATTGAGGAATTTCAGTTCTTTTCAATCAAAAAAAAAATGAAGAATTTTCTTTTAACATAGAGATATAAGAGAGAGAAAGCTATATATATATATATATGTATGTACACATGATCAAGAAAATCAACCTCAACGCATTGGATTGTTGTCTGCACTAACTTGAACTTGTTTTTCTTTGTTCCTTCTTCGATCCGACCATCCATGCCGTCTTCGACAGTCCAACATTGACTCCGATATTGCAGAAACCTCCGATCAGCACTTGAGTCCAATCTAAATGAACATTGCAAAAACATTATTTTCTCTTTCTCTCTCTCTCTCTATATATACATGTTTGTGTTGTTTGTATCAATGTATAATTTATGTATTTGCATATATTGGTTGATCGGGTTGATCGGTTTCAAATTTCCGTATATATTCCTTATCTGGTTTTTTCCCCTCAATCTCTGAAGTTCTTGCAATGGAGATTGGAAGCTTTTTGTTGTTTTTATTTTCAGAAGTACTATAATTTTTATTCATTGTTCTTGGCCTTGAGTTGGAGGCAGAAGATGTGAAATTGAGAGAGAGATGCGTTCTGTTTCGAAAAATGAATATCTGGATATTGATGATAAAGATGAGGGTAGGTTTTGGAAATTGATGATGGAGATGAGGGCATTTTAGTCATTCAATTCAGAGGAAAAATCATATTTTCATGCCCATTTGCATATTAGGCGCGTGTCATGCACGGCCTGTTAGAATAGATGGAAAAGCTAACTGTGCACATTACTTCATCAACCACAGGGGGGTTATGTGGTGATATTTGAACGTCAGAGGGGTAATCCACACATGGCCCAAACCATAGGGGGGGTAAAGTGAAGTTTGCCCTAATTTTTATACAGACATTTTATAGATGATTTTTCAAAAGTTGTATTTCTTTTTATTCAATTATAGGTTACACTTTGTTTGAACAGGTTTCAAGGTGAAAGAGACTTCAAAATTAGGTCCTCGCCCTGAGAAGCCTATAGAGATATATGAGTTTGAAAGGTACTTTATTTTTATATCATCTTCTTCTCTTTAGGATATTGGTGGGCATTGGTTCACGTGGATGCTCACTTTGAGTTTTAGACTGTTTTGGCCTACTGTATTTTCTCCCTATAACTATTTATAGTTTCATATGCTGATGTGATGATTAAGACTGAATGCAATTGTTGCTTTCTCTTGATATGGATCGTCATTGATGCATGCGGAAATTTCAGCTGCCCATTTTGTCGGAAGGTAAGAACCACCCAGTGGGATTTCCTCATATTTTTCCTTGTGATATTCAGTTTATAAAATTTCAGTACCTCTTCTTTTCCTTTTTACACTTCTTTTCCTTTTTACAATTTAATGATTTTACTGTGAGACTGTAAATGATAAGCATTAAGTCCCAGTGTTAACTGACACCATAGACATGACTTTACCGTGGGCTTTTCAATTGCAATGACACAAATTATGGTTAAGTGGACATATTTAAAGAGATTATAAAGATTTCATTCATCTAAGTTTAGGTTCTTAGAACTAATCCAATGGTTGTAACTTGTAATAGTAGGGTACTCTAGGGATATATCTCTTGTCAGACTTTTCTTGGACATATTTATGGTATAATGTCCAGATTTGTTTTGATAATGGACATCAAGTCCATCCTGAATATTGCCTTTGTCTGTTGATTGCTCTATGGTGGCTCATGCTACATGCTATGCATTCTCTATGTTATTGATAGGCTTTTTGATCAATTACAGGTCAGGGAAATTGTTGCGGTGTTGGATCTTGATGTCCTGTATTATCCTTGCCCAAAAAATGGTCCAAATTTCCGTCAAAAAGTTGCTCAGATGGGTGGAAAGAAGCAGTTCCCTTACATGGTTTGATAATAGTCCTTTCCTTTTATTCTCTTACTTGCACCTAAAATGATGAAGAAAAAAAACAAGAAAATGGTATGAACCTAACTACTTGGGAAAGTTAACAAGGTTTTATCTGCTTGCTTGGAAAAATTGCTAACAAGATTAGTAATTATCCTCTCTTGCTAAAATTCTGATTTTTGGTTCCACTCTGATTTTTGGTTCCACCCCGAGCTCTCTGATATTCCACTCAGACCTGGATCCTCTCTAAGCACCATCCAAGTTAGTATCCCTCATCTTTGACTGATTGTGAAGGAAGAGAATGTTGACCCATAAATCAAAGTTTTACTGGGATTGTATAGCATTTACTTGGGGCTAAGTCAAAGTAGATGAAAAGCTCTTTGAATAATTTTAGATGTATGCACCTACGTGTGGCTGATGCACAATGAATTTAAAACATAGATGAAAGAAAATTTGATTTTATGCGACTCAAATTTAATTATTTTGTGCTGCAGTACCAGTAAGCACTTGCTAAAATTGACTTTAGTAAATAAATAAATAAAATTCAGTCATATATGTGCTACTCCAGTTCTTATAAACTTCAAATCCCAAGTTTCTTGATTCAATTGGGTACAATATTCACCCCTTAGTTGCAAGAATTGCCTATTAAGGATCATGTTTCCAGTTTAGAATCGCGTTTTCGTGGTTTAGATAAAAAATCGAGTTAGAACCACATTCCTGTCAAGATAGAATTGCAGTTCTAAATAGGATGGGATCATATGAATCCCAAATAAACAAAAGAAAAGCTACCAAGGCAAAAAGAAAAGAAAAGAAAAAAACATATATTGATCTTTAGAGAACAAATAGTTGCCCAAGATTTTGGCTTTCTTAGAAATAAAGGATGAGGAGTTTTTAATAGATATTTTCAATTTGGATTATGTATGGAATGGGTAGGATGAGGAGTTTTTAACAAATGCTTCCTTAAGCTCACTCAATCTTGGAATTCTATGTCCTTGTTCCCTGACCTTGCCCTCACCCTCGCTTCATGCAACTGAGATACCACCTCACCTACTCCACTAAACCTAACCCACTACACCACTACCACCTCACCTACTCCACTAAACCTAACCCACTACACCACTACCACCTCACCTACTCCACTAAACCTTCCCCCACTTAAACCTACTCCACTAAACCTAACCCACTACACCACTACCACCTCCACTTCACCTACTCCTCACCCACTACACACTCACCCTCTTCTATATATAGGAATCATGAATCATTGTAAAAGAAATAACATTACATCAATCAATAATAATACATACAATTTATTCTCTCTCTTTTTCTATACATTATTTCTTACATGAGATCCACCCATGACTACTATATGAATTCTGCATTGTAATAAGTAGAGGGGTGAGAGACTAGATGTGTAGAGAAAATGCTGAGGACATAGTGCAGGTAGTCAAACTTTCTACTTTTTTCATGTGCCAATTCCGTGGGGACTTGGTGTGTTGCATCTGTTTGGGATAATTGAAAAATTTACTGATCGTTGTTGTTCAGTTTTTATTCGTTATGGAATTAGAGTGCTTAAAGGAGTGTTTATCTATTTATATTAAATATAAAAAAAAACAACGCCCACTTAGTACACATTAATGTGTGTTTGGGAGGGACAAAATTGGGTACATATCTAATCTTTGGCATAGTGCACAAAGATGAAGCTTGGGTAACCAGCTTGGGGTATGATAGAATATCACCCCCTATTTATAAATGAAGATTAGGGTTTACAAGAAAGGCAATTAGAAGATGATCCCTGAGGGCATAAAATGATTACAGACCCTAGTGTAACTTTCGGCTAATATAATATGCTAACACTTTCGGCTAATATAATATGCTAACACTCCCCCTCAAGCTGGTGCGAAGATATCTCTCATGCCCAGCTTGCTTAATATGTCATGAAATGGTTTATTCCCAATCCCCCTTGGTGAGAATGTCAGCAAGTTGTTCACCAGACTGGACAAAAGGAGTACAAATGGTACCACTAGTGAGTTTCTCCTTAATGAAGTGGCGATCAATCTCAACATGTTTTGTCCTGTCATGTTGAACTGGATTGTGAGCGATGTTGATGGCGGCCTTATTATCACAGTATAACCGCATGGAGTCCGTCTGATCAATACCTAGATCACACAACAATAATTTGATCCATAAAAGTTCACACACACCTTCTGCCATAGCTCTAAACTCAGCTTCTGCACTTGACCTGGCAACCACATTCTGTTTCTTGCCGCCAACAAATGTGCAATACCCTGAAGTTGATCTCCTATCAGTTACTGACTCAGCCCAGTCAGCATCTGTATAGGCTTCTACACGAAGATGATCATACTTTGAAAAATACAGACCCTTACTAGGAGCAGACTTCAAATACCTCAAGATTCTCATGACAGCCTCAAAGTGAATCTGATGAGGAGTGTTAAAATTTATCACCTACTTCACCCACTTAAACCTACTCCACTAAACCTAACCCACTACACCCACTTAAACCTACTCCACTAAACCTAACCCACTACACAACTACCACCTCACCTTGGTCGGCCACCCCACTTGGAACCACAATCAGAAATTACGCGGGCAAGATGAATAGAAGGAGGAGAAACTCTAGATGATGAGAGAGGGAGCTATCACGATTAGTGGGTAAGCTCAATTACCTATCCTCACTCCGTCTGATATTGCTGTGCTGTCAGTGTAGTTAGTCAGTTTAAATGCATGCTCCTTGTTAAGAAATAATGTATAGGAGAGAGATAAATTGTAAATGATTAATTATCGATTGATATAATTGATATTTATTACAATGATTTCATGATTCTATATATAGAAGAGGGTGAGTGTTGTAGAAGGTAAGAAGTAGGTGAAGTGGAGTGGTAATGGTGTAGTGGGGTTAGGTTTAGTGGGTTAGTGAGGTGGAGTGGTGTTAGTGGTTAGGTTTAGTTGGAGTAGTTAAGTGGGTGTAGGAGGTTAGGTTTAGTGAGTGTTTTTAAGTGGGGTGAAAATAAAAGAGGATAAGAGAACTGTAATGGTATCGTGTCAGACCATTGGTGAAGACACTGGACTGGTGGTGGCAATAACGTGTGTAGAGGACACTGTATGGGGGTGTCATAACGTGGTAGAGGACCACGTATAGGTGGTGTATAATGTTGTAGAGGGGACACTGTATGGGGTGTCATAACCTGGTAGAGGACAACTGTAATGGTGGGTGATGTCAGACCGATGTATGAAGACATTTATGGGTCATGTTTCGGACCGTTGTAGCAGATAATGCTTGTTGACAGTTACGGAAGTCTTGCTGGACCCTTGTAGAAACTAACGCGGAATCAATGTCGGGGACAGTTTACAGAGTCTTGTCGGACCATAAAGGAGGCTTAACCGGGAATTAAGTCGACAGTTACAGGATCTGTGGTCGAGGCCCATTTAAAGAGCTAAACCGGAAATCAATGTCGGACAGTTTACACAGTTCTGTCGGACCCCTTAAAAGTCGGCGACCCTCAAAGGTGTGCCCAATCCTTCAAAAGGCGTGCCATCAAAAGGCCGCCGCAATCCAAAAAAAGACGGCCATCAAAAGCGAGCCCAAGTCATAAAAAGATGTGCCGGACATGATGGCGAGGCACGTGGTGCCTTGGCTGCGCGCCGTTTGTCGTCTGCGTCAAGTGGCGCGCGATACGCGTGCTGCCCCGTCTATTTTAACCAAGGTGATGCTGAAGGCCTGAGCAAAAAGACAAAAAACTTCTGAAAATCCTCTGAAAAAACTCTTCTTTACTGAGAGAGAAACTCTGTAATACTCTGTACCAAACCCCGTCTCTGAACACTCAGAACATGGCCTCTTCTTCCCGTCCAGCTAGCCAGAACATGGCCTCCTCTTCCGTGGGTCTGGCTCGCACTGCTCTTTTTCAGAAAAAATGGTGAGAAAAAGAGGAAATCACCACCACGACGAATAACTGGTGCGGTGGCCAGTGAACTCACAACCAAACACAACTACGAGGTTTATTTGCTCTCCGATCTTGAAGAAACCCTTCTCGTATGAGTGGTTGAGTATGGACCTCGCAATAAAATGGGAGGTAATTAATTCTGAATATTGTAAAGTGCACAATGCAGATATAACTCATTGAGAAGATGCATAAGTGTGGAACGATTTAGACTAGCAGGTAGCGACACCAACCTGGTCGCGACCTGGCACGGCTGCAAGAGCAGCGACAAATGAGGATGCACCGGTTAAACTCTCGCCGCCTCGAGCATCGGCTGCGTCCTTTAGATCTAGATTAAATTCCGCCCAGGAGTAATTTGGTTGCAGGACCGTGCGACATGCAATAGAGATGTTCGCTTACAAGACAGAAAGACAGGAGCTGAATAGCGGAAGGCCCAACACGTGATGTTCCGTTGGAGGTCAACCATATGCCTGTAGTGGAGGAGCCGGGAGGAAGCATTGCTTGGTGGTCTAAGGAAAGGCACGGGGCAACACCGGCAAGGACCACCAAGACGGAGGCAAGAAGAAAAGACCGGCAGAAATAAGGCGAGAAGAAATCCCACTGTTCCTATTTGTGTTGGTTGTGTTTTGTTTGTTGTGTTTGTTTTTAATTTTTATTTTTTTTTTATTTTTATTTTTTTTTTTATGGTGTAAAATGCTGATCGGGGTTGATCAGTCTCCCAGGCATGAAGAAATGACAAGTTTGTAAAAAATGTTGTTGTTGTTTTTTTTTTTTTTTTTTTTTTTGGAGTGTTTTGTTGAAAAACATAAAAATAAAATGAAAGAAAACAAGGGGAAAAGAAAATAGATAAAAATATTTATAGATGGTTATATGAAAAACATCAGCTGCGATTGTTTCAAAATAAAGTGGGTATTTAAAAAAGAGGAAAGTGACTTGGAAAAAATAAATGAAAAATAAGTGATTTTTGAAATCAAACAATGGAGAGAAGAAGGACAAACCCCTGTGATAAAGTGGAGAGAGAGTCGGTGAGTAGGGTGCAAAAAGGTGAAGGAGAAATGAAATAGAGATTGAAAATGGTTTGGGTCAAAAATTGGACACTGTTATGGGGAACATGAGTGATTGGAATTATTTGATATATAATAATAAATATAATAAATTAAAAAGTTAAGAGACAGTTGCAGAGATGAGTGGAGTACTGGTAAGGGTTTCATCCAAAGCCAAATTCTGCGAATCCTTCGCAAAATCCTAGCATGAGCTTTTTCTCTTTCCAGGTTATCTGAATTTTCCTGGTGATTTTCAAGAGCCTCTGGTGGCATTGTGGCAGAGAACCCCAACTGGAATGTTTGGTGGCAGCAACTGAGAACACCCCAACGGGATTTTGGGTGGCCAGCAACTGGAAAATATCATAGATCTGAATTTTTAAAAAACCTCGTGACAGCATTTCATCAGCTTCATCCAAGAAAAACATTTGATGTAAACAGGGCGACAGTGGTTGTCTCCGCAACATGTCAAACGACACGACAGGAGTACCAACAACAACATGAACCCGCACTGAGAGAATGCGCTGATCTTCGCGCACACTAGTTCCCTCCAACATCAAGCAAGAACTTCACACTTTGCTCGCAAGTTCAAGAGTGGGTGGAGATACAAAGCTTGCAACTCAACCTAAGCTTAATCTAGCTTGCTGCAGAATTCCAAGAGCAGAATGTTTGCCAGTGTTTCCAGTTTCCAGACTGTCTCGTCATATGGGTGAAGAATCTTCTCCATCAGCCTCACACATGACTACAGGTGCACAAATCTTTGTTGACTTTTATCAGCGGAATAGGTTGAGGTCCGGCGGCCGGGCTAAGGTGAGGTTGCCGCCCGCCGGGGAGCGAAAATACAGGTTTTAAACCAGCTCTGATACCATGTAGCAAATAATGTATAGAGAGAGAATAAATTGTACTGTATTTTATTGATGATATATTGATATTTATTACAATGAATTCATGATTCCTATATATTTTAGAAGAGGGTGAGTGTGTAGTAGGTAAGAAGTAGGTGAAGTGGAGGTGTAGTGGTGTAGTGGGTGGTT